CCCTCGGGACGGCCTGAGTAATGACTCGCGTACTGAGCCATCCTAACTACCCCCAACTTTCGGAATTTGTCATGGGAGTGCAACTCGAATAACACCTGCCGTACGCTGATCTGGCGCGCTCGTGCTTGACTCGCAACACACATGCGGCATTTTAGTCAGCCCACCTTTCCAGAAGGTACTGCAATCGCGAGAACAATTCTATTCGTCTGGCTTTTCGGATTCACCCCTAACCTTTCGTCAGAAGGACGCACACAGATACTTCAACACAGGCCTACCGAAAACACTAACTTCTGTATTCAAAAAACATTTCCACTTGGTGCGATGAGGGTGTAGTCGCCAGGACTCGTGTTTCATTGGTCACGATTGCGCCGTCAATTTCAGTCGCATTCGCTAGGCAATGCGGTTCATCAGTACTGTCACTGGGAGTAAAGTCCATCTGTCAGCTCCGAATAAGTGGAGGGTATCAGAGCGTAATCGGAGAATCCTGGATTCCAGCCAATGTGGCTGTAACCTCTCACAAGGCTTTCGGAACCCGAAATCGCGACCGGGACCCAGGTAGAACAGATGGCGTCATTCCCTTGTGCCGCTGCAGTGTTCGGCCATTCGTTTCCAGTGTAATCTGCCTGTTTCTTAATTACTGCTGTGTTTACGAGTATTCCAGGTATAAGAAACAACCACAAACTATCTTCGTCATGGCGGCGGACGTTCCGGTCTCACCACCTAGCATCTGGTGGTTTTCTCGCGGTCGAATGATAGACTCGCCCACTTGATGATCTGCTCTTTGTTAATAACGAAGCCGCAGCCTCCCTAGTCTTGATCTACACTCGTTAGAATTCACACCAACCAGTATGACCCATTTCCTGATTAGCTGCAGAAGCAAAACATGTCCCGGGCTTCCTGGAATCCTGTGCCCCCGTTTCACTTCAGACACGGCCCGCTGGCCTACGGTTGCTCGCTGGTCTGATGGTCAAATTCCCTCTTCCTATTCTCCACTCTTTTGTACAGAATAAACTGTTCCCGCTACTCTGACCTCCCAATTCTTCTCTTCCGGACCTGAAGTTCGCAACTGCTAGGGATTGCTCTATTAACCTAACTCCCTGCAATATACCTCCTCCTGCATGCTCCACTTCTGCCTACTACTAGCTGTTACAGTTGTCGGGTACTCTGTCGAGACCCTAGACTAAGCAGGACAGATGAGTTCCTCTAGTGGTCGCGTGAACGTCCATTAACGGATATCACACTTTTTTGAAGATGGCAAGAACAGCAAGATTTATTGGATCCAAGACATTTCGAGAGAGCTTGGACCCACCTTTGCTAACATATTTATGGGCCATTTAGAAGATAAAGTATCCTCCAAATTAAACAATACCACACTCTACAGACGATTTGTAGACGCTATCTTTGCGATTGTGGACAACCCAAGGGAAGCCGAAGGATTATTGTCTGCAATGAACAGTCTGCATCCTAAGACTAAATTTACCATGGAACGGCAACAAGAGAACCATCTTTCTTTCCTCGACGTTCACTTATCCAGACAGAATGATGGTCCATTACACGGACGGTCTTCCATAAGAATACCAGGAAAGGTCAGTATATGCATTATTTGAGTTTTGTTCCCCTTCAATGGAAACGAAATAAGGTATATACTCTTCTCCAGAGGACCAGAAAAACCTGTTCTGTGGATATATTTGATGCTGAATTATCCAGCATCAAAGGCACTTTATTGAAGCGGCGATACGCAACTCAGTTTGCAGACAAGTAACTTAAACCTCTACGATCTAAAATGACTCAGCAATTAACACCAAAAAAGCCCGTTTTCATTTTCTTGCCCTTTAAGGGCGGTAACATACGGAATACCACCAAAAGACGCTTTCTCAATGCCATTGAAAGGATGTACTATGCTGCCGATCTTATAATTTGCAATCCAACGAAGCCTTTACCAATTTCTCATGCGAAGGATGCCTTGCCGTTGCACGCCACTTCAAACTGTGTTTATGAATTTACATGCACATGCGGATACGAGTACATAGGGCGAACGCAACGGCAATTAGCCACCAGGGCTAAGGAACATTTGTCTAGCTGGTTAATGAAGCAAGAAAAGAGAATTCCCCGGTCATCGATTACTGAACATCTGCTAGACACATGCCATTCTGTTGACCCCAAATCTTCTTTCCGAGTATTGTTCGGGCACGAACAACTCGCACCTTACGCTACCTGGAGGCAGCCTACATACGGCGGTAAAACCCGACTTATGTAAACAGTTGGAGCATGTAGTGAACCTAACTCTGCCCTGATAACATTGGCTCCCTGTTTACACGTTTCCCCTCCCAAATTTTTACCTCAAACTTATTTCCCCATTTTTGCTGCCCATAGCGTTTTAACTTTCTTATGTTATTGATTAGTCTCCTGGCCATTACTTATGACCTAGTTATTTGTACCGATTTTTCTGTATAAGTTCAATTTTTTTTCTCTCACGTGATTCACGCTATGCAATGGGAGGCAGCACCTGAAGAGCTCTCTCGAAATGTCATGGATCCAATAAATCTTTATGTTTTTTGCCATCTTTAAATTTCCACCTGGATATCACGCTGCCCGCATGACGAGGTGGGGATACCAATAAACTATCCTTACCCTGATGATGGCCCTCAAATCGTCGATGGTTCTCAGGCCTCAGATTCCACTACCCGCCGGGGAATACGACCTCATTTTCCAAGGAGACAGCTACAGGCAATATGTCCAAATGGTCCACTTCATCCGACTGGAACTCGAACATCGGAGCTATTTCCTCCTGTGGTTACTGTCAAGACACACAAGTAAATGCAGCAAAAGAACAATGGGTTTATTTTACAAAAGGGTTTGCGTGTGTGGAAAGCGCGGGGGGAGGAAACGTTTTCTTCTCAGGCGGCATGTTCACTAATGAGTGTCGACTTCCGATCCCCGGCATCGGCTGAGGGCAGTCCAAAGAGCCGAATGATGCCCTGATCGCGTTCGTACTTGGCCTCACTGGAGTAGGTCAGCAGGTGACAACGAGGATGCCAGGCCAGCACGAAGGTGGCCGCAGACTGCGTGCCCAGTCGATAGACTTGTTCGCCTAGAACACACGGGAAAAGTCAGGGACAGAAATACAGACATACATTGCGTTATACTACTTGTGATAAGCGAGTAGACATGTTTTATTATGATTTAGAGTAACCAAAAACCACTGTATTTTCACCCACAGGCACGTAATTGACGTACTTTTTTTTCAATTTTTTTTTTGTATCCATATATTTCCTATCATCTTGTTACCAATAGGGAATACAAAGGCGTTTGCCTATCTTCCTTTCAATCAACTGATACGGGTGCCTATCGGGTTCTTCACTGTACGACAGGAACTAGAAGGCGTACTTTGGCTGTGTTAGAAGAAGGGGAACGACCCGTGTGGTGGAACAACTAGGCGCAGACTCACGCCACACCTGGGGCCGCCAGCGATTCTTTCGATTCTGTCTTAAAACCGAGCCCAGGCGCGGTACACGCGGTGGA